CAGATACTGAATGGTCAAAGCTGTTACCATGGGTGCTGTACAATTGTAATTGGTGCTTATGTGATGATGCTATACATACAACGTGTGCACTGTAACACCCCCGTCTCTTACCCCATAAAAACCCTACTCGCTATTGTTCGGGGCTTCACCTTGCTGCCACTACATCGGTAGATGGGTGAGCCCTGGCTCGAGCTTGTAATAAAGACCCTTTTGTACTTGCATCGGTGTCAGCTCCTTGGTGGTCTCTGGGGACTCGCGAATCGGGCACAACAATCCCAACAAGTGCCCTACCCCATGCCCATCACCCCCCTTCCCCTCTCCCCCACCCCCATCTGCCTTCAGTTTGTTCTCAGCATTCAAGAGTCTCTCATGGTTTGCCTCCCTCTCTCTTCCCAACTATTTTTCCCCTTCTTCTCCCTCATGGCCCTCTGTTAAGTTCCTCCTAATCCACCTATATGTGCAAACATATGGTATCTGTCCTCTGCCTGACTTATTTTGCTCAGCATAACACCCTCAAGGTCCATCCATGTTGCTACAAATGGCCAGATGTCATTCTTTCTCATTGCCATGTAGTATTCCATGGTATAGATAAACCCCGTCTTCTTGATCCATTCATCCGTTGATGGACAGTTAGGCTTTTTCCATGTTTTGGCTGTTGTTGAGAGTGCTGCTATGAACATTGGGGTCCATGTGCCCCTATGCATCAGCACTCCTGTATCCCTTGGGTAAATTCCTAGCAGTGCTACTGCTGGGTCATAGGGGAGTTCTATTGTTAACTTTTTGAGGAACCTCCACAATGTTTTCCAGAGGGGTTGCACCAGCTTACATTCCCACCAACAGTGTAGGAGGGTGCCCATTTCTCCACATCCTCGCCAGCATCTAGAGTGTCCTGATTTGTTCATTTTAGCCACTCTGACTGGCATGAGGTGGTATCTCAGTGTGGTTTTGATTTGTATTTCCCTGATGAGGAGGGATGCTGAGCATCGTTTCATGTGTCTGTTGGCCATCTGGATGTCCTCTTTGGAGAAGTGTCTGTTCATGTCTTCCAGTGCAGAAGCTTTTTATCTTGATGAGGTCCCAGTAACTCATTTTTGCTTTTAATTCCCTTACCTTTGGAGATGTGATGAGTAAGAAATTGCTGCAGTTGAGGTCAAAGAGGTTGTTGCCTGCTTTATCCTCTAGGATTTTGATAGTTTCCTGTCATACCTTGAAGTATTTTTAATATCTGGGTGGCTCAGTCGGTTAAGTGTCTGATCTCGGCTCAGGTCATGATCTCACAGTTCATAAGTTTGAGCCCCTCATCAGACTTTCTTCCCCAACTCACATGTTCTCTCTTGCTCTCTCAAAAATAAACATAAAATTTTTTTTAAAATACTTGAGAATAACAGTTGTTGGTGAGGATGTGAGAAAAAGGAGCACTTGGGCACTGTTGGTAGGAATGAAACTTGGTGCAGCCACTGTGGAAAACAATTTGGAGGTTCCTTAAAAAATTAAAAATAGAATTACTATATGATCCAGTAATTCCACTACTGGGTATTTACCTCCCTAAATGAAAGGTAGTTTGGAATGATATATGCATCCCTATGTTTGTTATAACATTATTTGCAGTAACCAAGATATGGAAGCAACCTAAGCGTCCATCAATAGATGAATAAAGATGTGGAGGTGTGTAAACACAGACACACACACACACAGACACACACACACCCGACAGTGGGATATTAGCCATAAAAAGAATGAAATCTTGCCATTTGTGAGAACATGGATGGACTTGGAGGGTATTATGCTAAGTGAAGTAAGTCAGACAGAGAAAGACAGATGTTATATGATTTCACTTATATGTGAATCTAAAAAGTTCCTCTGAGTAAGAACCAGACTTTCAAAGAGGGCAGCAAAGGTATATAGTACACGTATGATGGCTGAGTACTGTTTTGCAGGAAGAGGATCTAAGGGTGTGGCTGCTCCATCTACAGACTTTCAACGTAGCATTCTGTTTTCAGGCCCTCCCTGTACCCTTCCCCTACAGATGTGTCTGGCCTGTCCAATTCTTAAACCTTAATGGACTTCCTTGCTTTTTAATTCCTTATGGCACATATAATTTTACAGCCAGATTTTTTTTTTAATTTAATGTTTCATTAAGTAAATGTTGCTAAAATATCCCTACCAACTACCTTTAAGCTACCACAATGAAAAAGTTCTGGATTCCTACCAGGGTTCAAGCCAAGGTAGTCACATGTGTAATGCAAGTACTTAACAGCAGAAAGGAAAAAAACCTGCATATAAAATAAATTGTATCTTTCTTTTTAAAAAAATTTTTTTTAATGTTTTATTTATTTCTGAGAGAGAGAGAGGCAGTGTGAGCAGGGGAGGGTCAGAGAGAGAGGGAGACACAGAATCTGAAGCCGGCTCCAGGCTCTGAGCTGGCTGTCAGCACAGGGCTTGAACCCATGAATTGTGAGATCATGACCGATCTGAAGTCGGATGCTTAACCGACTGAGCCACCCAGGCGCCCCTAAAATAAATTGTATCTTGAGACACCTACCCTCATGCTAGTACATCTTGAATTATTTATTATTTTTTAGTAATCTCTACACTGAACAGGATGCTCAAACCTACAACCCTGAGATCAAGAGTCACATGTTCTACCAACTGAGTCAGCCAGGCAGGCACCCCCATCGTGGAAGAGTTAACTGCTAAATGTAGCAGTATGAAGCCATAATAACTCAGGTCTCACCATGGGAGCATTTTTAAGTAACCCATGGTATTATTTAGGATATTGACCCAGCTGCTGCAACAGTGACCTGAATTAGCAATAGCTTATCAAGATAAAGTTTCTTTTCTGTCTCATAACAATCCAAGTGTGATATGATGGCTCCATGTAGGATGCTCCTGTCTTGCTGCTTTGTTTTTCCTAGGTTGTTTCCACTGTTCATTTGATTAAAGATGACTGAGTACCCATTAGCCAGTGGGAAAGGGACAGGCTTTGTTCATATGATCCATTTTTTTGTTGTTTTTCATATGATCCAGGGAAAACACTTTTGAAGTACTTTTATTTTTTGGTTTTTTTTAAATGTTTATTTTTGAGAGAGACAGAGCATGAGTGGGGCTGGGGTAGAGAGAGAGGGAGACACAGAATCTGAAGCAAGCTCCAGGCTCTGATTTGTCAGCACAGAGTCCGACACGGGGCTTGAACTCACAAACTGCAAGATCATGTCCTGAGCCAATGTCGTACACTTAATCAACTGAGCCACCCAGGCACCCCACTTTTGAAGTACTTTTAAAGGCAATTTTGTACCTTTCACTTCAGCTCACAGCTCATTATCCAGAAGTTACTGGAAGACTGGAAAACACTTTAGCTTGGTGGTCATGTATTTTGTGTTGTATAAGAAACTGAGGTAAATGAAATGAAATGAAACAAAATAAAACTCAGTAAAGACACCAGAAAAAAAAATGCTGAGGTCACGTACTAGGGACAGCTAATGGTCTTTGCTGTATTCTGAGCTTAGTAAATTCAGGTTGTTGAATTTAAATTAACATAGCTCTGAGGTTAAGTCTGGATCTTTGTAGTAGGGGATTCTTTTACTTTTGTATACCAAGATTACAAACAGAACTTAAAAATAAAATCAGGAACAAATCATAGTGATTTTCCCTTTAGAGACTTAAGGGAAGAGGGAAGATTAATGTCTTATGCTTCTTTTATTCACTTGAATTCGGTAAAATCCTCCTCTGTTTTCCCCGTTCTGGCCAGTGAGATCAATCTCTTTTACTTTTGCTTTTAATACTAATGAAATTCCAGAGCCAAGGCTTACAGATGTACACATTTATAATGAATGAAAAAAGAGATCAAGAGACGAAAGAGGTGCCACTCGTCTCTGCAGCATTGGAGATGTTTCTGTTTCATAGAACTAGTTCAAAGAATCTGCTTGGATGAGGTGTTAAACTAAGAATGTTCATAAGAACATCAATCTTGTTTTCCTGTGCAATATGAAAATGTGCCTGAATATTCATAATCTAGCAACTCGCCTCTTCTCTGTTCTTAGAAGTATAATTTTTAAAAAAGATTTTGTAAACTCTTGAGACTTTTGAAATTGTTACTATATACAGCAAAGACAACCTTCAGAAAGAGCTTGCATTTCTATTGGTTGTCTTTCTTGATAGTTCGTTGCCTTGGTAATAATGCTGTAATCTACATGTCTGAATTTCTAAACACCCTAAAGACTTGTAACTTTGTTCTGTCAAATCAAAAGAGAATCATTGGCACATTTCTCCTCTTCTATATATAGACTGGAGAAAAATAAATTCCTATCACAATATTAAATTTCTTTTAACAAATAATGAGAGCTTTGTTGCTAAATTAACAAGGGATATATCTTTTTTTTAGGTTTCTTTTTTTAAAACTTTTTATTTTTATTTTTTTTTACAAATAGTTTGTCAAGTTGGTTTCCATATAACACCCAGTGCTCATCCCCACAAGTACCCTCCTCCATGTCCATCTTCCCCCTCCCCCCCCACACCCATCAGTCCTCAGTTTGTTCTCAGCATTCAAGAGTCTCTCATGGTTTGCCTCTCTCCCTTTCCCCCACTATTTCCCCCCTTCTTCTCCCCCTTGTTCCTCCGTCAAGTTCCTCCTAATCCTCCTATACGTGCAAACATATGATATTTGTCCTTCTCTGCCTGACTTATTTCACTCAGCATAACACCCTCAAGGTCCATCCACGTTGCTACACATGGCCAGATTTCATTGTTTCTCATTGCCATGTAGTATCCGATCGTATAGACAAACCACATCTTCTTGATCCATTCGTCCTTTGATGGACACTTAGGCTCTTTCCATGTTTTGGCTATTGTTGAGAGTGCTGCTATGAACATTGGGGTACAAGTGCTCCTATGCATCAGCATTCATATATCCAACAAGGGATATATCTTATTATCTTATTATCTTTAGGAATTCTTGGAGTTCTTTTCAAGTTATTTAACAGGGTTTCTCTTTTCCCACATAGACTGCCCTTCATCTACCTGGGTTCAGTTCCAAGACAGTTGTTACATTTTTCTTCAAGAAGCCATCAAAGTAGAAGGCATAGAAGATGTCAGAAATCAGTGTACTGATCATGGTAAGGAGTTTATTCCTTTTTTTCCCACAGTTGTTAAATAGTGTTCAATAATTCCTTAAAATAATAGTTTTCTCAGGGTGCCTGGGTGGCTCAGTTGGTTAAGCTTCCAACTTTGACTCAGGTCATAATCCTGTCGTCTGCGAGTTCGAGCTTCTGTGCTGACAGCTCAGACCTGGAGCCTGCTTCAGATTCTGTGTCTTCCTCGCACTCTGTTTCTCCCCCCTCCCTCTTTCTCTCAAAAATAAACAGTAAAAAAAAAAAAAAAAAAAAAAAAAAAAAAAAAAAAAAAAAAAAAGTTATAGCTCACTTTTACCTGGGTCCCTATAATAAATGGACAATTTTTATTGTATAATACAGAAGCTGTAAGTGGAAATGGGGATATAGTTAACTTCTAAGTCGGAAGACAGCTGTTAGACAATACTGTCCAAAGCTGTTTGCCAGGAACTGAGCAACAGCAGTGTCTGTTGAATGTGCACACTCTGCGCCAAGCACTGTGCTTCGGTACACCATATACTTTACCTGGGTTTAGTGAACATGACAAACCTAGTTTGTCAGGTAGTTTATTATTACCCTCCTTTTATCAATGGGACACATTAAGTTCAGTTTATTTGTTCAAGGTCACACAGGTAATAAATGGCCGAGCCAGGATTTAAACTAGGGTCTAGAAAGGTCTAACAGACAGCACTCTGTTATTCTGTCTTCAAAGTGCTGTTTCAGGTATGTAGTGTGGGCAGAAATGGGACCGTGAAATGAATCTGTGGTAAAGAAATGTATCTTAAAAAAAAAAAAAAAAAGGAGACGGGTACCTGGGTGGCTCAGTCTGTTGAGTGTCTGACTCTTGATTTCAGCTCAGGCCATGATATCATGGTTCGTGAGATCAAGCCCCCACCTCAGGCTCTGCACTGACAGCTCAGAGCCTGCTTGGGCTTCTCTCTCCCTCCCCCTCTCCTGCTCATGCTGTCTTTTCCTCTCTCTCAAAATAAACAAACATTAAAAAAACAAAAAGGAGGAAAAGGCTATTTGCTAGCAGATACACTCATTATTCTCTGGAAAATATATTTACAACTTCACATTGTGGAATATTTTAAATAAAAATGATATTTTTTAAAAAGGTGTGCTTGGGTGTTCTTTATATGTTTGGCCCAAAGTACATCCTTGTTGTTGCCTCTGATTGTTGTGATACTTTAAGTTCAAACTGAAACTAGGATGTGAACTAGCAACTTTTTTAATTGAAATACCTGTGATGGTGATATGAGAGTCCTTGATTCTTTAGAGGTGCTTTTTATTACTGCATGAGGTCTAAAATCTCTTGATCATTTCATTAAATTTTATCTTAGGTTCATTAGTAACTCTTAGCATTTAGAAATGCCCTTTCCCTAAAATAAAAAAAAAAATTCTAGCAACCAACCAAAACGACATTTTGTAAGAATATCACATACTTATCATAGAAGGAGTGAATGTAAGTATAGAGGTGTTTAATCCTGTTAAGTGCCAAGTGGTACTCAATGCATATTGTTTGCCTTTGAAAAACTCCTACCTGCCAAATGGTGTTGAACATTGGCTCTATGAAAGCAAGACAGCATTTCCAATCTACTCGTATGGTTTCATTTTAAAGAAATTGAGGACTGGGTGGCTCAATCGGTTTAGCATCCAACTCTTGATGTCAGCTAAGGTCATGATCTCACGGTTTGTGAGTTCCAGCCTCAAGTCAGGCTCGGTGCTGACGATGCAGAGCCTGCTTGGGATTCTCTCTTTCTGCCCATCAGCTGCTCATGCACTCTCTATCAAAATAAATAAATATTTTTAAAAATTGAATAATAGGAATTTTTTCAAATGGGGCTTCCCCTATAACAATTTTCTGTCTCTTTTTTTAAAAAGTTACTTATATTAAGTATACTTAATGTAGATTTCAATAACGAGTTATTTGGGAGGCCGAGAGCCAAGAAAAGACCTGTTCCTATATTCTTATTATCCTGTATGAACCACTAGGTCAGAGTTCACTGTCCAGCTTTACTGCTTATCTTTAGCGGTTAAGCAAATGCTTGCTTTACAGAGGCATAATTAATACTGGCTGCCTGACTACTTTTACAACTCCAGTGTAGTTGAGTTGTACTTGCCATTTTTCTTTAGTAAAGCAAACCAGAATTGGAAACACCCAGAAACTTCGTGATTTGACCTTGGTTGCTTGTTCTGGGGTCCATTAACTCTACTGTTCAAGCAGGGCAGCCACTTAGGAATTTTAAATGTTTATTTTTGAGAGAGAACACAAGCAGGGAAAGGAGAGAAGAGAGAAGGAGACACAGAATCTAGAGCAGACTCCAGGCTCTGAGCTGTCAGTACAGAGCCCAATGCAGTGGTCAAACTCAAACTGTGAGATGATGACATGGGCTGAAGTCGGATGCTTAATGGATGGAGCCACGCAGGCACCCCAGGAATTTTAAATTGTTATATTCAAATTTGCTTATATAATTTATCTGGTGTCTAAAGAAAAATATCACTCTTTGCCCCAGTTAAAAACCTATAAATTCAGTTGGCCTTACTGATTGGGTTTTAAAAAAATGTTTCATACATTTTTGTTAACCTTATCATTTATTTGATAATCCTCTCTATTTGTTTCCACTCTGGAAATACCCAGTTCATTAATGAATCAGCAAATTAGCTAAAATTAGTTAATAGTACTGGTATTTATTTTTGGCTAGACCACTGTTTTGGATAAGAGTGTAGGTGGACATGATTTCAGTGTCTGCTATGTATTAAGAAGAAAGAGCAGAAGGTATAATATTACAATATTTACACTGGGATTTATAAAATCTTCCCAGCTATACAAAATGGTATCTTAAACATGTCATTAGGGGTTTGGAAAACAAGTGATTTGTTACCTTTTGGGCTGCAGAGAGGTATCTTTAGAAATATTCCCAGTGCTTTGTGCTAATTTACTTTATATTACCTCTCCTTATTTTTGGTATCATTATTCTTTTAGGAAAATAATTGTGAGAGACTAATATTTTTCTTATTTTGCAGCATTTTACCTTTAATTTGTATGTTATTAAAATAGAATATTTTCAATATTTCCTTTTTGTGATTTGTGAGCTATGTCACTAGCTATAAAAAGAATTGAAGACCCAAATTATATCTCAGCAGGTAGTATCAGTGGTAATGCATTGTAAAAATTTTTCTTGAGCACATGCATTCTCCAGGGACTTATGCTGTCATTTGGTTAAAAAAAAAAAAAAAAAAAAAGAAGTGTGTCTTATTTGCCTGACACAGTAATTTAAGTTTATACAGTATTTAATTAGATTACAATGTTAAGAATCATTAAAGTTTCATTGGCTTCTTCAAGGTCAAAGAAAAGGATGAAAAACTCCTCTCTGAACACTTAAGCCAAAACTATGACCTAGTTAAATACTTCCCTTGAGAATTTTTCTAGAGTGGTATTTTGGTCACATTTTACAAGTGAGTACAAGTATCAGGGTGAAACAGATTAAAAGCCTGTGTGACATTTAACAGACAGGCAGCTGGAAATGATAAAATCATCATAGTTTTTTACAAAATGGAGATACAACTCAGAGAACCTTGCTGAATACTAACTCTGGATTAAAGTATTACTATCTGACTTTTTTAAAAAGTTCTTTGTAATATGCACAATCATTATAAAAAACTTAGAAAAATACATATGCAAATATTTTAAAAATAAAATCACCCTAAATTGCACCACCCTAAGGAAATGTAATGACTTATTAACATTTTGGTTAAGTATCCTAGACATTTCACCCCAGGCAAATTTATATTAATAAATACTTTTTTTTTTAATGCAGTGTGCTTTTTAATGTTTTTGAGAGAGTGAGAAAGAGAGAGAGCGTGTGAGCACGAGCCAGAGAGGGAGGATCCAAAGTAGCTGTGCTCTGTGCGCAGAGCCCTGTGCGGGGCTCAAACTCATGTGAGATCATGACCTGAGCTGGAGTTGGACACTTAACTGACTGAGCCAACCAGGTGTTCCATCATTATTTTAGTATGTAAGAAAAGGGATCATATTTGGCAAACTGTCCTGTAATCTGCATTTTCCCTTAAAAATGTCTGTGGCAGTAAAAATGTAATGCATATTTCCTAATAACTGTATATTAATCCAGTATATAGAAATGCCATAATTGATTTAGTCCTTTAATATTAGCTATTAAATTATTTGCAGTCTTTCAGTATCATAAACATGTGATGAACTTTAATGAATGTGTTTGAGCACAGAGCCAATGATTGTTAAGGATTGCTGGGTTAAATATGTGCTTTTTAAAGGGCTCTTGCCACATCTTGCCACATTGTTTCCAAAAAGGTTGTACTAATTTTTACTCCACCTAACCACTTATGAGTTCCTATTTTGTTATACCCAGGGCCAACACTGTTTAATCTAGATGTCTGAAAGTCTGCTTAATTTAATTTTCATTTATTTACTAGTGAGATTGCATTTCTCACACATTTCTTTTGTTAGATTTCCTTTTGTGAAGGTGAACTTTTTTTACAGTCTTGAAACTAATTTTTTCTTCCATTAAGGTGTTTGCTTCATTTATAATGGAGCTCCAGTTTGCCCAGTTTGTGATTTTCTTCTCTAACAATCCAGTATGGTTTGGGGGAGACTTTTTGGCCTTACAGTATTTTTCTTGTTAATTTATTGGGGTTTTTTTTTTTTTGTCTCTTTTAAGATATAAAAGTAATCGCTTAATACAAATTTTTCTTAACATATCCGTACATAATAGCTCTGTCTCTATTTAACTGTTACCTTATTACCAAAATATTACCAGCCTTATTGTGATGTCATAAATATAGTAGCCTACTATTTAAGGCACCTGTAATTCTCAAAGGATGGTTCCTGGATCAGCAGCAGCAGCAGCAGCATCACCTGGGAAGCTGTTGGGAATGTAAATTCTCAGGTCCCATCTCACTCCAGTTGAATCTGAAACTGTGTGTAGCCTCGTACTAGTCTAAGAAGCCTTTCAGGTGATTTTGATGCATGCTCAAGGTGGAGACCCAGTGAACCAAGTATTCTGGAATTTTCAGAAGATTCTGTTAAGTTTGGATGAATTTGGAGGAATGTAATAGTAGGAAAGAGTTCCTCATTTCTCCACGTGCTTGTTGTAGTTTTGGTACAGAAAGTCTCCACACTGTAAGGTATATATAGGATCAACAACTTGTCACTGGAAAATGGGAAAATTGTTACTTCTAAATTACTGAAGCTGGAAAGCCCTATGTTTCTTAGTATTTTTGTGTTATATTCCTTATTTACCTGAGTACAGCTAAAAGGCTGTACATTTCTTTGTCTTACACTCAGGGGTTAGATGTATCCTCCCCACCAGCCTTCTGGTTGCTATGAGGACAAATTTTTTTTTTTTTTTTTTTACAAATAGTTTATTGTCAAGTTGGTTTCCATATAACACCCAGTGCTCATCCCCACAAGTGCCCTCCTCCATCCCCATCTCCCCGCTATGACGACAAATCTTGATGTCATCATTTGTCCAACTGTTTTCATTAGAAAAAACAGTATTATGAAAGAAACTAACTCTACCAGTATTTTCTCTAAAGTATTATCCAGTTAAGCCAGTGACATGCTCTTTAATTTTCAAGAGAATCTTTGTCTAGGTAAGGAAACAGGGTTAATATCTCTTGGAAAAGTAAAGTTACTGATATTTATAGGATGCTAATATATATATGTAGCTTATAGATTTTAAGGATAACAAAAGCTAATGTATGGGAGATATAAAATACAGATAGCTGCTGCTCGTTACTCTTGAGTCACATGAAAGAATCCCAGGAAAAATCAACTATCCTGTGAGAACGAGGACCTCTTTTATCAATCATTTTCCTTAACCAGGACTTTTCTATTCTAAGGATCACAGAAGAAAATCTGGTAAGGTGTTAAGGCTTGGGCAGCAGGCTCACGAAGGCCAGTTAAATGAAGCAGGTCAGAGAGACTGTTGCTCAAACTTCACAATGTCTTACCACTGTTCTGGCAAGTTGGCTTCATACCTTTCAGTTCTCCTGGATATGGTCAGAGCTCCTCCTCCCTACACTAGAGAAGTAAGGACTGGAGAAACCATGGTTGCTCGAGGAAGAGGTGATGGGAAAAGTGAAAGTTGAGAGATGCAGAACATGTGTTCTATTGCTTAAGGCTCCATGTTTTGTTCCTTTGTCTGTAAATTACCCACTCTACACAAATGAGAATATAAAATTGTCACATCATTTTACTTTTCTCATATATTCTCAATATTGTCTCTACAAAATTGTGCATATTCTCAAGCTAAATTTTAAAAAGGTGTGAGCGTATCATAGTGCATAATTTTTATATAATTCCTGTGATCTGCATTGATTCTGGAAACATGTTAACATTATTTTTACCTAAAAATAATTTCAGGAGCAGACATGGTAAGCATACATAATGAAGAAGAAAATGCTTTTATACTGGAGACTTTGAAAAAGCAATGGAAAGGCCCAGATGATATCCTACTAGGCATGTTTTTTGACACAGATGGTAAGTAAGTGAGATTTACCTTGTAGGAGACCACTCTTTTTTCTTTCTAATGGTAATAAAACTGGTAATTTTGAGATTTTTCAGTTCTGTAGTTCAACTTGATGTTTCCTGTGGTCTCTGGGTATTCTGTTTTCAGTGTGCACCCATGACATATTCCACAGCTCTTTCCTGAGCAGCTGTGTTTCTTTTGTCTGGATTAAAATACGGTTCTAGGCTCAGCATTTTTGTATTATGGTAGGGTCATAAATGTGTCAACCATGGGATAATGCTAGATTGAACTATCAAGGTTATATTATGTAAGTGTAGTTACTGTCCCTGTAGGAAACAGAAAGTACATGCATAATTAATGAAACTACTAAGATTACTATTAATATTTTAATTTTCTTGGCTATTTACCCCATGAAAATGTTACTTTATTATTTTCAATAACGGAATCTTCCACAGAACCTTCTTGAGCCAATACCTTTCATTTACTTGTACACAAGATATATTCCTCCTAATTTAAATCCTACAATCTAAAGTTTTGAGCAGACATATTTTAGTTAATTTCCCATCTTTAATCTCAGACCCTTTTCTTTGGCTTTCTTTTTAACTCCATTTACCACTGTCATGACAAAAATATTCTTAACTGACAGATGCAAGTTTCAAGTGGTTTGATAAATCAAATATGACATTCGATAAATGGACAGACCAAGAAGATGGTGAGGATCTAGTTGACACCTGTGCCTTTTTGCACACCAAGACAGGTGAATGGAAAAAAGGAAATTGTGAAATTTCTTCTGTGGAAGGAACCCTTTGTAAAGCAGCTAGTAAGTATAACTGAAGACTTTTTTCCATTCCTAGAGAGGTGGGGAAAGTAGGACTGGTTTTAAAATAATTTTTGAGACAAGTATGCCTCAATAAGTTAGAGGGAATAAGAGAAACTTCAGAATATATTAGGATGGTATGCTCCCAAGTCTTTTGGAAGTCAGATGTAATTCTCTTACATTTTATTTTTTACTTAAAAAAACTTTTTTTAACGTTTTATTTATTTCTGAAAGAAAGAGAGGGAGGGAGGGAAACAGCATGAGCAGGAGAGGGTCAGAGAGCGGGAGATACAGAATCTGACGCAGGCTCCAGGCTCTGAGCTGGCTGTCAGCACAGAGCCCGACATAGGGCTCGAACCCACGAACTGTGATCATGACCTGAGCTGAAGTCAGACGCTGAACCGACTGAGCCACCCAGGCACCCCGTTCTCTTACATTTTAGAAGGACCAGATCATGTGAACCAGGCATACTTTTATTCCTTCTGCTTATTCTTAGAGCCTGCTAGAGGTCAGAAATTTCTTACACTGTTCAAAGGAATTATCATGACCTCCTTGCATGTTATGGGATTAAACAGAAATGGTGAAGAATACTCATGTCTGATTCTAGAGTTCTGTCTAATGTTTACAAAGAATTTGACCCTGTACAAGTACTAACAGTCCTTTGTTTAGGCCAAAAAGAAAAACTGCATTGTAGTTAATAATTTGTTCTGGACTAAAATGTAATTTTTCTTCTGACCCATCAGAATTCTTTTTCTGGCAACCCTGAGGTGTAAGCTCTGAACCTGGCCCCTGACCCTCCAACCACCACCCCTGGGCTCTGGCCGTACCCTCTTCCCCATCAGAATGCTTTCTAATGGACAAAATTATTGTGTCCCACAACAGTATTTTGAGGTTATTGTTAAGTGTCAAAGCTTATTCTCAGTTTTAGGAAAACTTTTCTCATTAAACACTTAAAATATCAAAATATGACTTTGGGGTACTTGAAACATGACAGCCATTTCTCCACTTTGCATTTTTAATTCCCCCTTCTACTTCAACTGTAAACCAAACTTATTTTTCCCTTCTTTACGTCTGGAATTATATATATCTATATATGTATTTTGCTTCAGCAGAATTCTTAACTGCAGTTTATAGTGACTGTATTAAATTTATTACAGTTTTATGGCAGTGGAATTCACCTTCCAATTTATTAGATATTAAATTTATTTTTCATGTACTAAGTATCAGAGCACATTTATATAAACCAAATTTTTAACTAAACTATAACTGAAACATCAGAAGTAGCAAATCCATACTAATGGGGTCACAGCTGTATAATTTTATTAGGTTTGCTTTTCTACAGAGCCTCTAACCAAAATTATTTTCCTCACCTCATCACTTTGAGTTTCCTTTTTCTTTTCCCACCAACCAAGCTAATATAGTTAGACCTCTAAATCATTAAATACAAAGAAACAAAAAACAACTTTGTTCAAAATGGAAAACACGATTGACCAAGCAATAGAAATACGGATATTAAGCTATTTAATTTTGTTTTTAACTAGTTTGAAAGTATTTAAAGACAAACTTAGAATAAAGCATACATGAATTTTAATTTTAATTTTCTTTTGTATTTTAGTCCCATACCAAAAGAAATATTTATCAGGTAAGTAATGGCCTTTTGTTAAGTCTTCTCACAAGTAAAAATACATTAAGAAAATGTTAAAATATTACTAAAGACCCCCTTAAAATTAATTTTATAATGTAAAGTGGACAAACTTTTATAAGAATCTAGAAAGGTCTCAACTTAGTAAGACTTGACATCCTAAATATGGTAACTGCAAATATATATACATTGTTTTAAGTACCAAATTGTACTTTCCCATTGAATTCCATTTTGTTTTTGTGAGAAATGAGTCTGCAATCTTGTTTAAAAAACCTTGACCTTATAATTATAGTTCATTAAGCATCTGTCTAAAGAGTTTACTAAATGCATTTTTAAAAGTTTGTTCATTTAGTTTGAGAGCCTCTGTGCATGAATGGGGGAGGGGAAGTGAGAGAGGAGAGAATTCCAAGCAGGTTCTGTGCTGTCAGTACAGAGCCAGATGTGGGTGGGACTCGACCTTAGGAACGGTGAGATCATAACCTGAGCCAAGGTCAAGAGTTGACTGAAACACCCAGGTACCCCTAATTGCATTTTTTTTTTTAAAGAACAGGTAATAACGTGAACATGTTCAGTAACATTAACATGGTTCAAAGAAGCAAAATTGTAGTAAGGCAAATGCTGAAAAGTCTGTCTCAAGTCCTGCCCCCATCTATTCTTTTATCCTTACTGGACACCCATTCAGTTTCTTCTTTAACCGTCTTCTGTTTCTTTTGCCAAGATCAGCAAATTCAGATAGAGGACTTATTTTACCCCTTTTATTCACTAATAGATTCTAGGTATCTCTATTGAACTTCTTTTACACAATGCATATACTCTTCCACTGTATGGATATAAACCAGCTCCAGACCCTAATTGGCTTGTTTCCAAACATTACAGTGCTGCAGTAAATGAATCTACTTTGCACAAATACATTATTTAAAGATTAGATTCCCTGAAATGCAAATGCTGGATTGAAAAATGGATGTAGAACTTTGATCAATAAGATTGTTTTAGAATTGTACCATTTTGCATTCCCAGAAACATGTCTGTTAAAAATATTTTCTTGCACACTGGTAGCATAATTTTTAATCTCTTTTGAGGTGTGAATAAGATGCACAAATCTTAAGTGTACAGTGATAGTTGCCTCTGGATGCACCTGGGTAACTACCTCTCAAACGAAGACACAGAACATTTGTTACACAGATTTCCCTCATGCCCATTCCCAATAAATGTATCCCCTACCACCATCTCTCCCAGAGTCACTATTTTGAGTTCTGTCACCACAGGTTAGAGTTGCTTGTTCTTGAACATAAGCACTGGCTTCTTTCACTCAGGTCATCCATGCTGTATATATATTGTACGGATTCTACTGTTGCATAGTACTTTGTAAATATATCAGTTTTTCCAATCTCCTGTTATGTAAAATTGGATCATTTCTAGTTTGGTACTAATGATAGAGCTGCCTATGAACATTCTCATTTGGACTTATGTATGTTCCAAAGAGTAGAACTGCAAGGTCAATAGGTAGCTAATATGTTTAGCTTTATTAGAAACCATCACCTAATTTTTCAGTTGTTGAACTGTTAACATGCCTACTGCACATCCATCTCATGGAGGGTCCATCTAATTTCAGCCATTCAGAGTTGTGTGTAGTCATTTTAATTTTCAGTTCCCTGATGAATAATGTTGAGCACTTTTACACACTCTTATTAGCCATTTCAGTGTTTTTGTGAAATGTCTATTCAAGTCTTGTGTCCTTATTTTTTTACTGGGTTGCCTTCTCAATTGGTAGTTTTTTCTTTTAAAAACTCTGGGTTGGTGGTGTCAGATGTAGATTTTCTGTCAGTTTGGGGCTTGCTGTAACTATGATGGAAGAGGAAAGGAGTGTTTGAGATTTCATGTGTATATTGGAGAACTAAGTTCTCACTCTTCAACAGGAAGAATAAATACCTTAAAATATCAAGTAAAGGGGCATCTGGCTGGCTCAGTTGGTGAACGTGTGGCTCTTGATCTCAGAGTACTGAGTTTAAGCACCACATTGGGTATACGAGTTAAAAATAAAATAAAGCAAAGTACCACTTCACATCCATTAGGTTGGCTACCAAATTATATATATAATTTATATACAATATGCATAACAAAAAAACTTAAAACAAGTATTGACAAGGACATAGAGAATGGAACAGTTGTGCACTCGAGGTGGGAATTTCAAATTTTAAAATGTTACAGAAACAGTAATGCTAACTTCTCAAAAAACTACAAATACCTACAATGCAGCAATCCCACTTTTGGGTATACACCCAAAAGAAATGAAAAAAGGTATTAAACAGACTTGTACACTCATGTTCATAGCATTATTCAAAATAGCCAAAAAGTGGAAGGTGCCAACCCAAGTGTCCATCAACAGATCAGTGGGTAAGTAGAACATGATATACATACACTATGGGACATTATTTAGCCTTAAAAAGGCAATTCTGGAACATTCTACAACATGCACAAACTTGAAGTTATTATTAGACTAAGTGATACAAGCTGGTCACAGAAGTACAAATACTACACGATTCCAGTGATCGAGGTACCTGGAGTAGTGAACCTACACAAGGTAGAATGTTGGTTGACAGGGAATAAAAGGAGGGAAATTGGGGCATTTTTGTTTAATATATAGTGTCTCGGGTTTGAAGATGAAGAATTCTGTGGAGGAGAAATAGTGGTGACACCCAGCACATCCGTGTGAATGTACTTAACGCTACAGAACTGTATACTTAAAAATGGTTAAGCTGGGTGGGGTCGTGCGTGAGCGCTTGCCCCCATGTCTGCGGTGTGTAAAAAAAAAAAAAAAAAAAAAAATGGTTAAGATGGTATTGTTATGTGTATTTAACATTAAAAAATTAAATCAAGAAAATCTGTGTTAAGTATGTTATTTATAATAAGTATGGAGGTAAAAAACAGAGGTTAACAGGAACCAGGAACTTTGAGGAATGGGAAATTCAAGGTGGCAGTGGAACAGAAGGAGCAAAGTATTTTCTGACATATATCTTTGCACCATGTATATTTGGGTTGGGGTGTGGTGGGGAAGGATATACACAGACTAAATAGGATATAAAAGGATACATAGAGATTTAAGGACAAAAGAGTAGATAGGTTTATGATGGTTCTCAAAATCCCATCAGGAATTGCTGAAAGAACTGGCAACAAAGTGGTCTTTGAATTCATTAAAAATATATTGTTATATTTCATAAGAATGTGGAACTACTATGTGCCTGGCTTTCTTGATGCATTTTCATCTAAAGGTCCAATACAAACAATACAACCCACACCTTAACAAACTGTGACTGCTACAAACTTTTAGGATCAGAAAACAGAATTTTCCTTTTTGTGGCCATTTTCCTCTTTTTTAAAAAATAATTTTTAATGTTTTATCTCTGAGAGAGAGACACACAGCTTGAGCAGGGGAGGGTCAGAGAAAGAGGGAGTCACAGAATCTGAAACAGGCTCCAGGTTCTGAGCTGGCTGTCAGCACAAAGCCAGATGTGGGGCTCGAACCCACAAACCATGAAATCATGACTTGAGCCGAAGTCGGCTGCCCAACCGACTGAGCCACCCAGTCACCCCATCCTACTCTTATCTCCTAAACGAGTTAATTTCCCTGGACTAACTTACAGAAAGATTATGAGGGTTTTCAATAGCCAAAGACTACAAGGTTGTACATAATTATTTTAGGAATACACACATACACAGGTACCTGAATAAACAGAAAAAGGGAGATAATTTACTGCCATTCTTTTTTCTCAGTGAAACAAATTTTAAATGCCAAAAGCCACATAAACCAATAAGCTTCATTAATGCAAACAAGTATCTAAAGACAACTAGTCTTGAAAAGAGCTGTAAATATGAAGTGTTAGATCAGGAAGTAAAATCCAAGAAGGCAAACAGAACCGTGGTATACCCTGAGTGTGGGTAATTTCCATTTTAAGATCCATTTTAAGATTTAAGAGTGGAGAATTGTAAAACTCAAAATCTTGAAGAGAATGGCAGTCATTCAAGCTAAAAAATATAAATCTGAATAAGTGTAAATTTTTTACTTTTCTCATCAGTGTGGGAAATTCTAATAGGCAAACATTTACATGATGAAACTATTTGTGACCCCCCCTACAGTTCTAGCAACTATGTGTCCTGATTTCCATATATATATATATATATATATTTTTTTTTTTGTCTTTTCAGATAACCACATTTTAATATCAGCTTTGGTGATTGCTAGCACAGTAATTTTGACAGTTTTGGGAGCAATCGTTTGGTTCCTGTACAAAAGAAATTTGGATTCTGGTTTCACCACAGTTTTTTCAACTGCACCCCAATCACCTTATAACGACGACTGTGTTTTGGTAGTTGCAGAAGAAAATGAATATGATGTTCAAATTGACTAAGATTTTGGAAATTTTGGAGTAAGACATCAAATACCTTAACAGGGATTCCTGTGCAGGATTTTAATGTAAAACTTAACAGTGAAAATTACAGTTTTTGTGGTATATTTCCTCATTCCAGTAACATTCATTATTCTCATGTAATTGTGACAAAACTGATCTTTAGGTTCATTATAAGAACAAAGTTTTTAAAAAGGAATGATCATAGATACAAACCACCCTAAATGTATCTTTCACTTAAAAAAGTTTAAATCCCCAAGTAGTAAAGCAGATAAAAATAAATACCTAGTCTACTGCTCTATCTTCCTTCCCATCTGGTTGAACCACCTTAGGTTATAATTGGGGAAAAAAAAATTCCACCTACCACTGTAGTTTTAGCAATCACCAGGTCTTAACCAATTTCTAGGTCTTGCTCTTTTTCTAATAAGTAAAATATGAGAAATTAAACATACTTTTAAAAAGATCCTATACATTACAATATGGCACATGCTATCTACTATGGCAGACAATTCCCCTAATATTTTTAACTTCCTTTTTGAGTTAGATGTGGATAGGTTTTTAGATTTTTACCACCCCATATTCTACATAATTTTAAATATTATGATAGCAAAAACTGCAGAAAAACACTACATACTACTGTAGTGGAGATACTCGAAGTTTTCAGTATGTGTTCTGTACATTTTAATACACAGGTGAGAAGAATCTTTCTGGGGGTAAAAAATGAAAATGAGCTGAATGGAGTGATTTTCCTTAGTATCCTTTACAGCTTAAAAGATATTAGAAAAGCTAAAAATACAGAGTTCACATAAAATTATATTTGCTGTATTTAGAAACCTGAGAGCTCAAAAGTGGTCTCTCCTCCTAATCCATGTCGCACCAATCATCTTATAGGAAATACTTTTCTTATGGGGAGATACACTCTCCAAGCTTGACCAATAGCAACAAAGTCCCAGCTTACATTACATGACCTATCTCCACTGGCACTATGAATAACATCCTTCATCGCAATTAATAGCACTATTGTTTAATGACCTAGGAAAAACTACAAAGTGCTGCCAGGGCTACACAGTGTGGCTGTGTGGTACTGAGAGAGCAGATGTTACACGAGCTGTATTACACAAAACAACTATGCTCTACAAGAGCTTTACATTTCTAAGATTTTGGATACTATTTTATTCCTGATAAATTATTAAGAGTGGTACTAATAGTGAATAACAGATTGGAATTCCTTACTACTTCTTCTATTCAAAGTCTATCAGTCCTTTAAGAACTAAGATCTTAACTCTTCCTTAAAACTTTCTCTAATAGTCACAGATTTCTACAATGTCTAATATGGTAGCCACAAACTACACATGGCTATTTAAGTTAGAATTAAATATAACTTAAAGTTCAGGTCCTCAATTCCACTAGCCACACTTCAAATGCTCAAAACATATGTAGTTAGTAACTACCATAACAGGCAATACAAATTATAGAACATTTGCATTTCCATTATTACAAAGTTTTACTGAACAGTGCTGCTCTAGAATCTCCCCTTACACATAACTCCCATACAACTAATTTTCTTCTGTTCATTTTGATAACTTCTACCCAATGCCAGCTCTTCTAAAATGGCTACTTTAAACTGATTTAACTTTCCATATTTGATTTCATTTTTCAAGTAAGTCCTTAGAGGTCCCTGGTTAGTGAAGTATTACATTTTAATTTTCTTCATACATCAGGACATCTGTAACTGGGCCTTTGCATCTATTCAGTGGTCAACAGCTAATTGGATCATTCAAGTCTGTATTTATATTTTTAATATTATCAGTAACATAAGCATGTTTGTTTATATTCAAAATGTGTAAGTTGCTTTCTTCAGAATCTTGGTTTCAGTTAATAAGGACAATATAAATTCTTACTGTTTGGCAGGCACGGAGAGAGAATAACATTAAATTGCATTTTCCTAGGAATTTGCATTCTCTGTAGTGAGTACTATATGGTCTCTCGATTTCTGTTTATACAGTTTTAAAAGTAACAGCCAATGAAAAGACTTTACTTAGTCCCTCTAAGTCACACAGGATATCAGAAACTTATACAATGCTGAAATATAAAATAGTAAGTGGTACTACGGAACTGAAAGAATACTATAAAGCTCACACCACTGTGTATCTTTGTCATTAAGCATTTAATATGACAATAAACTGCATACCAATGGAGTGTTTTCTACTATTTAAATTTTTAAATAAAAAGTTTTGTGGGTTAAGTAGAAGATACTTAACTTTTATGCTGAGTTCTAATAAAAGTGTAAATGTTTCAAACTCAAAGCACCTAGAAGGACCTATTAGAATAGTGAAAGTGGCATCCTTAAATTTTGTATTTTTCTTTAAATAAAGCAATGCAGAGATAATAGGAAAACGATGAGCAAATGTTTTAGAAACATATTTTTGTATGAATTGGGATTTCTTAAAAAAGCTTTAAGGTCTAAAGTCTACTTTGAGCACCACCAGTTCAAAAGGAAACATTTCAAACTATAAAGTAAATCAATCAGTATGCATTTTATTTCCAGCCAAGGTTTTACATTAAGACCAACAAACTAAGTGTAGGCAAACTGTTGATTCACATTTGAAAAATTACATGGTTTCTATTTAGGTTCTGAAAATGTAGTTAGTTATCATAACACAAGACTTTATTTATAATCTGAAACGACCTGAAGGTGTTTAAAAGTATATCCTAAGGGTATTGACAGAGGAAATATACAGTGTTACGAAAGTATACACAACTCCTGACCGTGGTGTAGATCTATTCATGGTGAATAGGTGATGTTCATCTGTTCTCCAAAAGTAGTGAAAAATATTAAGTCATTAAATAAATGCTCAGAATTACCAAGGAACAGTTAAAAACGACCAGGATCCAAACAGGTTATTTATATAATATTTATCTATAAAGAAGTGACAACACTAAAAAAAACACATTGAAAACCAGTGTTTTAAACTTTAAATGTGGGATTTAAAAATATTTTAACTTGAGATTGCAATAATTTTTTTTTCCAAATAGCATTTGATGGGCAATTCTGATATAATTTACAGCTGTAATACTCCTAAAGGACTATCACATACTATGGCCTATCAAATATAATCTGCACTTTGCAAATCGATACAAAAATTTATCCATCATTTATACATTTTATATTTATATACTTCTTAAAAATAAGATTTTATTGCTAAGTGAATTTAGGATTCATATTAAATTTGGGAACCTAATATATAATGCTTTCATAACTTCCCAATTATTTTTTTATAAACACTGGAAGCAAATGATGAAAATAAGACTGCAACTTAAGGCATTTTGAAAGGAAAAATAATTAGGTGCCATTTTATTTCAAAAGCATATTTTATCCCACTTTTTTCACTAGCAAGAAACTAAAAACATGAACTTTTTTTTTTCATAAATATGACTACAGTAATCAGAACACAAAAAAGGGTCATCAGCATTACTTAGATATTTAAAACAAGGATAACATTTCCCACTCACCTAAAAGAAAAATACTTTTGATGACCAGTTTATAAACATCAGATTCACTGGCCATGTTAAAAGGTCCAGGAGAATTTTAATTCAGCAATACTGGAGAATTATAGATATAGATATCAACATAGATATCTATATCTATATAGTCAATGTATTCAACAGGCATTCCCCACAAAATTAATTTATACGTAATTGCCAGTTTTAATAAACACTTGTTCACAGATCATCCATTTGTCTTATATGAAGTTAGGCAATATCAAATGTTCTGTTAGGCTCTCCATCTTCTTCGGAATCATCCTCTGAAGCTGTTGAAAGAAAACAGGATGATCAAGAATGATTTTAAGGGGGATGAGAATGGATGTGTAAATATGAAGCCAGAACAGCAATGACTTGTAAAATAAAAACCCCAATTTAGTATACTGTTTGGTCAAAATGATAAGTTATGACAGGGTTAGGGGTGGTTTGACTGTGGGTGATGCCCATCCATAATGCTCCCACCCCCCACATCTTTTTATGTTAGTTTTTATCAAAATGAGGATGTTTAAAAATGTGCTTCAAGAACATCTCTTCTAAAAAGCTTCTGAGATCAGCCTGTGGTTCATAGTAGCTAATGATATAGACACTAGAGAAAAAATGAACTTAAGGCAAGTGCTCTCACACACCTGAGTAGAATCTGGTTTATTACCGCTGCATGTTTGATGCATCCGATGAGAATGAAAAAAAATGTACACAGAATAGGTTATGGGTATTCTTGCAATTTTCATCAAAGCTATGTCTATACAATGCCAAGAAAAAGCTCTATTAAGTCCAAAAAGCTTTATATAGACACAGCCTAAGTTAAAACAACTGGATTTAGAAAAAACTTTTGTTGAGATTATTCCTATGCCTCTACATTGTCAGAAACATGTTTGCAACATTTCTGAGTTGCAATTTATTGAAGAGTCAGTGTATTAGCTCAGAAGTTTAAAATAAACACCCTAGACTGCCTATAGGAAGGACATAAGTATAAAACTATGGATTCTATAAACTGTTCTATGTGTTGAGGAAAATGGAATTCACTAAAAAAATACACAACCAGCATTTCCCCTATTACCAAGGGCAGAAAGGCTAAATGTATACTCTTCTTTTATTAATATTAGACCCAATATTTAAGAGCACTCAACAAACAGAATCAATAAAAACATACTATATGTATGGATGAAACTTAAGTTTTCATGTTTCAATTTCTCTTACAGAAATCTTAAATCCATTTTTAGTAAATGATAGCAAGCATATACTTGGTTCACAGATGATTAAATCCTATGGTTAAATTTTATGCTATATCATGGAGAAAAACTAAGAAATAAAAGTTTTTCAGGAAACTTCTCATGTTTTCTATTCAATTAACTCCACAGGAGAAGAAAATTCAGTGAGAGCCAACTTTTAGAATACATTAATATTCTGGTACTTAGTGAACTTGTAGCACCACGACAGCTTTCATTCTCAGCTGAATCTAGGTATATTTCACCTCCATCTTTCTCACATGTTGGGAGTAAACACTGCTACGTTTAGGAAACTACAAAATGAGAATGTTACCAAAAAAGCAATCTGGGGAAAATATTACTACCATCTGAAACAAATTACGACCATCACATCTGGCAAAGTATAAATTATAATTTGCTAAGAGAGATCTTTGTGTTAGATAACATAAGGGATGTAAAGAAGTGTGTATAAAAGAAAATAAAGATGTACACCAAATGAATTCCCACTTTATATACCAGACTCCTTTATATACCATGTTCACATACACTAAACTGTGAAAAGGCATCTGGTTATACCTCTATAGTACAGATTTAATGACAAAAACCCATGTCTTAGAATATTCAAGGAATTAAAACTCCACGTCTTAAAATATTCAAGTCCTTCTCAAACGTTACCTCAAAGGATGCTGAGGTTTCCCTAAAGGTAAAAAACACAAAACAGAAAACAAAAAAAACAAAAAACAAAACATGCACACTACAGGTAACACTCCAAGTGTTTTGAAAATGAGTACAGAAGATAACCAAGTAGTAGAGAATATATATTTTAAAACACTTCAAAGAGTGTAATGGAATCTGATCATGGAGAGCCAGTTGCTTTGGGTGAAAAAGTATTAACAGGTAGGGAAATCTTGAATTCCCAGGAACTAACTGTTTCAGAGCCACCAATATCTGTGCCCACCTGGTATGAAGCACCCTGGAGGTTGTAGGACTTTGAGGTTAAGCTGTGCAGATGCCTGTAAAGATTTGGGCATTAAGTGCCTTCACATAGGAGCCCAGGCAGAAGTCCTAATGCTGGAACGTGATCTTAAGAGATTGAAGCTGCTGGCGGAGCTGGCTGCCTATTAAAGGTCCATGAGGACCTGAACAAGGAGCAGAAAAAAAACTATGGCTTCTGTTACGGACTCAGAACTAGGAATCTTTCAACCCTATTTTCCTAGAACTATACACAAACCCAGGGAAAACTTTTAATGATATAACAAAACTGAGTAAGTAGAATTTCACTCACACACACATCTAACAGATTTAGAAGTGTGGTTTGACCAGTAGTTAGGTATAGTCTTTTCGATTAAAATTATTAAAATTAAGGTGATCAAAAATAAAAACTTTAAACACTAGTTATAATACATCCTTCTGTACCTTGAAATCAGTATTTTTTAAAAAAATATGCTTTAAAAAAACTCAGTTGCCCAACCCATCTTTCCCAAATCAATTATGGTATTATTAATCCTATAAATAAAGATCTAATTTGTAGAAAGAGTATACAGTAAGGTTTTGGTCTGTGGATTTAATTTACAAAAGTAAATTCAACAAGTCTGGGAAGGGGAAATTCCACCTACTTTCGAGATCTTCCATATGTGCCTGAAGAGTTCTTGCAAGGTTAATAAACTAGAAACAATGCAGAAAGAAATATAGTAGTTTAAATGTTGCAAATGGATCTAAAAAGAGAATCAGTATAGGAGATTCATTTCTACTTTAAAAAGTCAAACACCATTTTAAGCCTTTAAATAGGGGTCTTTTTACCCCATCAAAAATTACAAGCTTATAATATTTTTTTTACTGTTGTATATAATCACCATTATATAAATGGTCATGGAGAAATCATGAATCAGGTAGAAACTGAAAGCTGATACAATAAAATAGCTTTATCCAATGGCATTTCTGTCTTCTTGCATAAATACAACACTTCAAAAAATTATGGAGAAAAAAATTAAAACCATTACAATGTGGACACAAATAAATTCGCTGTTTGTGGTAAAAACAAACCCAGGAATAATATTTTTTTCCTGTCAAAATTTGATAGCTCCAGATGTATTACATTTAATACTTTAAAAAATTCATGAAAATGACTTCCACTTTAATAATTTGTACCTTTTACAAAGGCTTGAATTCAATAGATCTTATTATATGCTTTATATAAAATTTATTCATTTTGAAAAGATAAGTTACCTTTTAGGGAATCATCTCATGGCATCTACTATAAGATTTCTAAATAACTTAAAAGTCAAAAGATCTTTGCTCAAATTCTGAATGCTCTTGATAGTTCATTCTCTTTTCTCTCAAGGATAATAATCTGTCGAAAGGCTCATGGGAATACTCACATGAGGATTACAGAAAAATGTATTTCCAATTTAGAAACCATGTATGTATATTGGTTATTTGGTAATTTTCAAAATAAAAAAACAATACACCTCACAACAAACTTGGCTCTGTTTTTATCATCAAAGTGAATATTTAAAAATACTCTGAAGTATATGTTTATGAACACATTTCAAGATATCAAGTGTTCACAATGCTAGAGTTATGAGATGCAGGCCCTAGCCTCTGCCACACAAATTGGGTAAGGCAGAAGAGTATAAATTTCCTATGGTAAACTGATGTAAGTAGTATAGTATACTTGTAAGCACCTAAGAGATAGCTAGCTCAAGTAACATTAAAGTAGAAGTGTACAGAGTAAACACACAATAGTCCATATCACAAGTAGTTTCTAGTACTATGAATGCTTAAAAATTAGTACACTCGTAATCTTTCATAGGATAATAACAGATGAAATTGGAAGTTACTTTCCCATACTCTTTTGGTTTTTGGAGTTTAGTTTCAATATCAGGTTTCTAAGTTGTAATAATGACTTGTTTTTTTCCCTTCAAAATGAAAAGGAGCATTTTCCCTAGATATTTTCAATTCCATCCCTGTTTTTCACGGACAATATTCCAATTGATACCTTCAATAGCTAGAAAATTACTTCTCTAAAAACAGCTTTTTGAAAAAATTAGCCTGCTTGATATAGAAGGAAGACTGCAATTTCTATTAAATCTACAGTATCTTTACTTAATATTTTAAGACACATTTTAATATAAGAGCTCCCCAAACAAAACAAAATGTGAATGTATAAAAACAATCTGCTTTCCAAAGCAAACACTTGCTGTATCACACCCTCCCTTCTCCCCCACTCCAGTATTACTTACTCGGACACGTGTGCTTGGTTCATTTGTATTTCCCATCATATCAGAAAAGCTTTGTTCGCACAAGTGCAATAATACAACTAGGTAGAGACCAGAGCTGATAAACTCATACTCAGCCTTCAACAGGGAAGCAAACGAGAGAAAAAAAAAAAAATATGAAGAATGGAAAAATTAGTAGAATTGAGATTGATAGTTATAGCATACTGATAAACTAGAGGAAATGTATTTATATCCAGTTCCTAGAAAGAGATATAATGCCAATTATTAAAAAAAAAAAAAAAAAGCTGTCCTTCAGCTTCATAAAAGTTTACTAATTGCCATATAATGTACTCAAATAGGTGTGTGAATAACCTTTTTATTCTCATATAGTCTTCCTTTATGTAATGATTTATATAAAAGTGGGAAAAAGCATTTGATGATGGAATGAATGCTCTGGTTCTACATAAAGCTCAATACTGACTTCATTACACAGCTGGCTGTAACTATTTGCTTAAACATTGCCATTTCATCTATAGCAAAATCAATATATAATGTAACTAAAATCCTGTTCTGACAGTTTAAGTGTTTGGGTAATTTAATTAACGTAAAGTAACAACAGTAAATATAAAAATGAACTAAAAAAAGGTAGTAACTTCGTATCATTCACATAGAAATTTGCAGTGGGTAAAACTAGTTCTTTGGTTCAATACTGTTCTGTTGGTTTTGAAGCTAAGAAAACAAATCATGAATACAGTTATTAAAAACAATCTGTTCTGTAATTGTTACACAGTGAACTATGATAAATTGTATATTTTGATAACTGATCTGAAGTTAAGAAAGCTATGATCTTAGTACCAACTTCAGCAAGTAACTGGTTATAGCTTCTTCAGAATACTCAACAAATTTGAAATTGATTAGAAGTTTCTCTGGGGCACCTGGATGGCTCAGTAGGTTAAGCGTCCGACTTCGGCTCAGGTCATGATCTCATCGTTTGTGGGTGCGAGCTCTGTGTTGACAGCTAACTCAGAGCCTGGAGCCTCATTCAGATTCTGTGTCTCCCCCTCTCTCTGACCCTCCCCTGCTCACGCTATCTCTCTCTCTCTCTCTCTCTTTCAGAAATTAAAAGATAAACAAAAACAAAACAAGAAAACACTAAAAAAAATTTTAAAGTTTCTCTAAATGCTTCACTTCATTAACTTTGCTTATTTTTAACTTAAAAAAAAAATCATGTATCCAGAAGATTAAAATGTATTAAATTAATCATTTAAAATGAGGGTATTTGTCAGGCCATGAATCCATGATTCACAAAGAATAAAGATGTTAAAGCCAGAAAGCTTAATCAAGACTGTCATTTTTATAGTGACTCCACCTAATAATATTTCCCAACGGCTTAAATTATTTAAGAAGTGGGTCATTAAAATCCTTGAAGAACAATAAAAATATTCTTAGCTGTAGGGTAAAGCCAAAGGACCACCTTCAAGAGACTTAATGGAGCACCTAAAGAAAGAAAGGGGGGGAACCATTCTTTGAAACCTACTCTGATTTTGAGGGGGCGGGGGGGGAATTCTTTGCACCTTTCCATAGTCTTTCCCCCTGTTCTTTAAATCACCAATGTCTACCTATCTAGAGAGAGGCTCCTTAAAAATTTAAGATAATTCCGTATTGAAAGTGGTACTCCTTTTGGATAATTGGCTTCATTAAAGAATAAAAATAATAATTAGTATTAGAGCAGCATTTGTACTGTATCAATAGCCTATTTTTTTTTCATTCATTACATCAGTGACTCTTAACCTGGATCTAAGGATTAGCTTCAAGAGATCTGAGAGTCCTTTACATTATATACAGATTTTGTGTCTATGTATATTTTATAAGGAGTGTTCCTTGGTTTTAATCAGATTTTCAAAGGGTATCTATACTCCCACATTTAAAAAATGAAGGGTGTCCACAAAAGATCATATATTGATGGTTCCATTTATATGAAACATCCATATATATGAAATATCCAAAGAGACAGAACACAGATTGGTGGCTGCCAGGGGATGGGAAAAGGGGGCAATAGGGATCAACTACCTAATGGGTATAGGATTTTCTTTTGAAGAGATGAAAATGTCCTGGAACTAGAGAAGGTGATGGTTGTACAGCACTCAAGTATACTAGTACCAATAAACTGTTTACCTTAAAATGGTTATGTTACATAAACTTCACTTCTAATAAAAAAGAAGGGGAGAAAAGTGTCCATTGCCCCTTCATTTAAAAAGCAGTTTTCAAGCACTCATACATCCTGTCACCATCATCTCTCTTTTTATCACAAAAATGCTAATAAGCACACTTGAATAGTATGGCCCTAGAGTTATCCTAGTAATCTTTTTCAGCATCTAGCCCCCCACCTGAATTTTCTTTTAAAAAGGAAATAAAATACTGGGCTCTAAGCTTTAAGAAAAATTAGTGATCCAATCAATGGAGGAAAGGGGGAAGGAGTGATCAATACATACCAAAAAATCTGAGAAGTGAAAGGATAATATTTGAAATAAAATTTTAATATGATCAGAGAAATCCTGACATTATTTTTTATTTGTAGTGATACAAATACTAAAGGAAAGAGAAACAATGTGAACTTGGAATAAATGATTTCATGTAAGATAACTTGTTTACCATAAAGATGAAGAGGGAATGAGGACGTAGAGGGATACAGACATGAGGAAGAACAGGGGATCATACAGGCACATAAAAATACAGAACTGGGATGCAGATCTGGGGCTTGGTGTTTGGATTATTTTCCAGTACTCTGAGACATTCACAACTTAGTTCTGGGGAGAGAAGGTTGGCATGCCTACTTTGGGACCCATTTCCTATGCTTTTATTATTTTCAGGTTTATTTAGGAAGCATATGATGAATTTTACCAATTACACTTAAAATCTGCAATGTGGTTATATGCCTTATGCTTTAAAAAGTTAGGGGGAAAATCATGAAAAATGACAAAATCATATAATACCTAACATGGTAATAAAATTATATTAAAAAACATTACTATTATTATTTTAATGCAGGTTTTCTGACCATGATTTAATCTTTTCTTCAAGAGTTGTCCTTTAAGCATAGAACAGACACTTACCAAATTAGGCAAAATATACTAACTTGTTCATTTGCATGAGCTCTATGTAGTTCATGAATATCAAAATCCTCCAGGTTAAGCTGCAACTTCTCTTTACAGAGTTCACAGGTGGTTACAGCCTCTAATGAAGAACCTGGTAAAATTAAAGGAAAACTTAGTTTGCTATGTCTCCACAAAATAATTATTCCTTGTAAAGTTTTAAGCTTAGAATATAGAGAATCAAAGGGAGAAAGGAAGGAAGACTGCATTATTGCTACAAACCAGTAAGATCTCTTAAAATAACAACTGGTTAACAACCTGATGTGCGTGTTAGTTCCTAATCTATGGTTTTTAGGCTTATGTCCATTATTTAGGTGTCTGTTTTTTTCCATACAACCCCATCCTTGATGGGGGGAAGCTGACAATGGAACGTCATCTGTACTTCCTACTTCTGCCCTAGGTACCTTGGCAAGATGTCATGAAAACAACGTTAAATAATGTAGTATCTCAACTAGTTACCTATATCCAGGCCAATATCTCTGATACGAAAATATATACCTAAGACCTTTTGTCCTCTAAGAAATGGGCATTCCTTATAAGCTAGGAGGGAACAAAAGGAATCCACCTTTGTCTAGATAAAAACAGCTCCTTTCATGGGATGCCTGGGTGGCTCGGTCGGTTAAGTGTCCGACTTCCACTCAGGTCATGATCTCACGGTTCGTGGGTTCGAGCCCCGCATTGGGCTCTGTGCTGATGGCTAGCTCAGAGTCTGGAGCCTGTTTCAGATTCTGTATCTCCCCTTCTCTCTGACCTTCCCCTGCTCACTCTGTCTCTCTCTCTCAGAAATAAATAAAAAATTAAACAAAACAAAACAAAACAAACCCAGCTCCTTTCAGCCATAAAAGGAATGAAGTCTTAATACATGCTATAACATGGATGAAAGTAAATAAATTATCAAGGATTAGCGAGAGAGGGAGGTGGGAACTGCTGCTTAATGGATAAAGAGTTTTTGGGGGCGCCTGGGTGGCTCAGTTGGTTAAGCGTCCGACTTCAGCTCAGGTCATGGTCACACGGTTCGTGAGTTTGAGCCCCACATTGGGCTCTGTGCTGACAGCTAGCTCAGAGCCTGGAGTCTGCTTCAGATTCTGTATCTCCCTCTCTCTCTGACCCTCCCCTGCTCACGCTGTGTTCCCTCGGAAATAAATAAAAAACATTAAAAAAAAGTTTTTGTTTTGGGCTGCTGATAAAATTTTGGAAGTAGATAGTGGTGATGGTCACTCAACATTCTGAATGTACTCAATGCCACTGAATTGTACACAAAATGATGGTCAAAAGGGAAATTTTTACTTGATATATATTTTATCACAATTAAAAGGAAAAAAGTTCTTTCTGTCCAATATGCAGTTACTAGTTACTCCTAAGCTTCTGGCTCTAATTAAATAGGTGGTAGTATTCCAATTAAACATATAGCCAATTTCCCCCACACTTATTTTTAGAGCCTTAAACTAAATACATATATATATATATATATATATATATATGTGTATGTATATATCCTAAAAGTTAGAGAAGTCATGTGGTTAACAGGGTAGAGGCTTAGGTTCAATTCAGTTAACACCTGTTAACTGTTATGTGCCAAGATTTAGAAGGAAAAAAGCAGTAACCTCTGTCTTCAAGGAGCTCTTGAAGCCCTTAAACAGTAAAATCTGGCATAAAGTCCAAGACAGCAGTAATTTATATACATTTTCTTTTGAAAATAGTTCAACAGAAAGTGAGTGCTATTCTGAGATAGTTATGTTCTCTATGTTGTCTCGAAACGTCCTATAGTCAAATTACATTACGACAGTCACTATTATTTCAAGTATATGAATAAAACCAAGTCATTGTTCTTGCTGTTTTAGGAGTCTAACATACAAAGAGATACTGAAATTAAAATGCATCTGGAATATTTTAATTAAAGACAATTAATATTGTACCATTAAACTAAATTCAGGATAAGTCCATATTATGATCTGATGGGAGTACAAAGAATGTGAAAGATATTTATCAGACATTTCTTTTTAATTTTTTAATGTTTATTTTTGTGACAGAGAAAGTGCAAGCAGGGGAGGGACAGAGAAAGAGGGACACAGAATCTGAAACAGGCTCCAGAGGCTCTGAGCTGTCAGCACAGAGCCCAAAGCAGGGCTCAGGCTCAACGAATGGTGAGATCCTGATCTGAGCTGAAGCTGGACACTTAACCAACTGAGCTACCCAGGTGTCGCACATTTATTAGACATTTCTTAGAACTGTTCTCTGATTCAGAAGCAGGAAAAGTGTGATTATATAATGTGGACCTTTGAGATCACTGAGTACAATTTCTTTAACATCTTAGTGCTTCATGTTTCTCTTCTAGGAACTAAGTGGCTTCTAGAACAACATTCAACAGTTCATATACAGCTGAGGAAAGTACATGTACCCCTACATGTTTAATCTAGGGCTCATTCCATTAAGACCCCACCTCTTCACTAGGCCGACTGTCCTGACTGCATTCGCTTCAACCTGTACTAGACTTGCTTTATTCATTTTTGCACATCCTGAGAGTTTTAACAGTCCATACATGGCAGCTGCTTAATAAATATTTAAACCAATCTCTTCCAGAATGAATGTTCTACTAGATGGGGTCTTTATGTAAGTATGAGAAAGCCTTTGTGAAAGGTACAGTTCTTGAGGCCTTTATATTCATCTGACCATATCTTAGAAAGCTTATTAATAACTTGATAAAACCCATCTGAGTATTTACCACATGCCCAGTACTGTCAGAAACTGATTATAAACATCATCTCATTTGATCTTTACCACAACCTTTTGTGGTTATGTATTACTCAGTTTTACACAATGAAAATGAGGCCCAATCCCAGACCTACTTAAGAATGTCCAAAAGTAGAGCTAAGGCATCAATGTTTTCTAAAACTCTAATGGGTAATTTTGATCAGCAGCCAAGCTTGAGAACCAATGTTAAAAAAACTTACTCAAGATCCTCCAGTTAAGTGTTATAGCCATTATTCCAATCTAGGCCTAACAATGTTCTTAACACATTGTATCAACTGTTTTCTTGCCTACACAATACTAAATGTCTAACTGCAAAGGTATTAGAGGGTGAGTCAACTTGTTTTTCATTTTGGTAATGGCTGTTATTTCTGGGCTCTTACTAAGTGTCAAGAACAAATGCTACCAAGCTGAACATTCATTTAATCTTGATAATGCCTCAGGGCATTATAAAGCCAAGAAGCTGTCGTAACACTGTACAGCTAAGAGGCTGCAACAGGTGAGATGGGTCTGTTCCACAGCACTGGGATCAGGCTACTTTAAAAGAAACACTGCCTCCCTAACCCAAAGAGGCCTTTGCTATCTAGCTACACACAAATTTTCCCAGGTACCTCATAATCATCAGCTTGAATAGGTTACCCAAGTCTTCCTCAAAAGATGATTAAAATTAGCACTGATGCTATTATGCCTCACAAATTATTTTCCTGTGTCACCCAACTACTATCAGACCATCAATCTTACACAATAGCATACACTGGGGCGCCTGAGTACTTAAGTCAGTCAAACATCTGGTTCTTCACATCAGCTCATGATCTCATGCTTCGAGATAGGGCCCTAGGTTGGGGCTCTGTGCTGATGGGGTGGAACCTGCTTGGGATTCTGCGTCTTTCTCCCTCCTTCTCTGCCCTTCTCCTGCTTGCTCTTTCTATCAAATAAATAAACATTAAATAAATTTTTAAAAATTCTGTACATTTACTAATCTAATTTCCCACCCTTCTCACTTTATGAGTCATTTTTACTTTGTCCTCTGTCTCTCATGGTCTAACAATTAAATGTCTCTCAACTTTAAAATTAAATTTTGCTCTCTCAAAATAAACAAACATTTAAAAAGAGTGGGGTGCCTAGGTGGCTTAGTCAGTTAGGCATCTGACTCCTGATTTTGGCTCAGGCCATGATTTCACAGTTTTGAGTTTGAGCTCTGCCTCAGGCTCTACACTGACAACCCAGAGCCTGGAACCTGTTTCTGATTCTCTGTTTCCCTCTCCCTCTGCCCCTCTCCAGCTTGCACTCTCTCTTTCTCAAAAATAAATATTTTGTTTATTTATTTGTTTATTTTTACTTTTGAGAGAGAGAGAGAGACTGTGTGTGAGCAGGGCAGGGGCAGAGAGAGGGAGACACGGAATCTGAAGCAGGCTCCAGGCTCTGAGTTGTCAGCACTGAACCTGACGCAGAGCTTGAACTCACCAACTGTGAAATCATGACATGAGCCAAAGTCAGACGCTTAACTGACTGAGCCACCCAGGCACCCCAAAACAAATATTTTTTTTTAAAAAACAGTACAAGTTAAACTTTGAAGCAAGATTAATGAAGTTCTTTAATGCTTTTGCTTCAAAAAATAATTATACTTTTGAGTAATAAATTTGACAATCAGTAAATTATAATCAGATTTGTTAACTAAAATGTGTATGTACATGGATCTCTTGGAATGACTGCAAAAACAAAAACACAAAAAGGCAAATCTTACCAGAGTTAATTTTGGCCCGTAACCACTTTTTCATACAATCTTGGTGAACATACTGCAAACTTCCCGTGCACTTGCATGGCTCTATCAGCAAGTTAGATGATGATGCAGCTGCCATCTGACAAATTCTACATAAGTCACCTTCTTCTTCTTCAGAATCCTCTAAAAGGAGGCTAGAAAGAAGGGACATTTTGTAAATACACTATTAAAACTTATTCTGGTTGGTCATTTCCAATCATACATAATCTCAAACAATATTTTGTTATTTCTATTCATGTTCTGAATAGAAATAAGTTAACAGCCATAAAAAACTGCAACCACCATAAAAAACCAATTCAATGAGAATGAAAATTACAATAAACGTTTTAAAGGTAAATGAAACAGGATATCCTCTTACCTTCAAATGCTTTGTCTTTGACAGCACACTTATTTCATATCATACCTTATTTTCACAATCACTTTACAAATATCTCTAAGAAATTTTAATTTCTACAGTATCACAGACTACTTCAGTTCCAACATTATAAAGGTAATGTACTTACACACTTAGCACTTTCCTCCCCTACCTCCAAAAAACTTTTAGGACAACTTTCATAAATTAAACACTGACTTGTGTTTTTTCACTTACATGCTATCAGGACCACACAGGGTTAAACTGATAAACTTTTTGTGCTAAATTCATTTCCCCCACCCCTAGCAATGTTATTTGATCATCCTCATTTCTACAGGGTATGCATTTAAAGTGAAGCAGTTTCCATTAACCTACATCCTCTACTTAATAGGGCCAAATGCATTGCTTAATTTAAATCCAGAATGATAGCCATATATATATTTTACAAATAATTAATGACTATGCACACACACACACACACACACACACACACACACACACACACACACATTTGTTAAAGTCCTTATTGCCTTAGTCCATCGCTGGCAAAAAGAGGTACTCAGTAAATTACAACTGAATGCTCAACGGTTACTGAAATATAACCCGGATCATACAAGTTTCTAATGAACTTAGCAAAAAGATGTGTGGAAAGAGGATTAGATGTACAACTGTTAGGTGACTATCATGCTCTGTTTAAGCCAGAGAAAAAATCTCAAGCATAAATATTTATATTTTACCTTCAGATTTAACTTCCTCTAGCTTATAGTTACAATTATTTTTACCTAAGAGTTTCAATTTCTTAGACTCTTTATTTACTTGTGGAGTCTCTTGAAATCTTCATGTATTAGCAAAAAATATATAATAAAGGAACACCCACAAACTATCTCTATGACAAAATAACCAACAACTACCGCTTTATAATCTAACCAGACAGGGTGCTGGCTGGCTTCATTTGTTTCTCTCTGGACATTACTAAGCTAATGCTTTGCCCTCTGTTTAACCACTGCCCTCAAATTAACCTAACTTTGAACACAGGAAATATAACAGTACTGCATTCATCAGCAGACAGCCTATACCCAGAGGGAGTTAGTATGACATTAAACCTAACACTACCAGGGCATCTTTTTCCAAGAAAGGAAAAATAGCAAACTTCATATGCAGAAAATAGAATAATCCCATGGTATAATTTGTCCTACGTAAGGGGAAAAAAGGAATGCCTCATGTCCAATATCCCAGACTCGATCTCGAGAGTTAGATTTGAATGTATTTCTTCTTAAAAAAGTAAAAAAATCTAGGGGCGCCTGGATGGCTCAGCTGATTGAGTGTCCAACTTCAACTAAGGTCATGATCTCATGGTTTGTGGGTTTGAGCCCCGCATCAGGCTCTGTGCTGATGGCTAGCTCAGAGCCTGAAGGCTGTTTCGGATTCTGTGTCTCCCTCTCTCTGACCCTCCCTTCCTCATGCTCTCTATCTCCCTCTCAGAAACAAACTTTTAAAAATAAAAAAAATTAAAAATCTAAAACATTGGTAAACTATGCTTCCCAACAATCCCATTAAGTTAGGCCTTTATAAAAAAGAAAAAGCAAAAACCTAAAACACCCCACAGCCTTAGCTTTACCTAAGTCTTTTCTTCTTATAAGTACATTTTACATGAACTATTCTAACCCATTTTATAATAAAAATTATTTTAACAGATGGAAAAACTAAGTACACTAAAATGACAAATAATCAAGTTGAGACTGAAATCTCTGATCTTTTGTCTTTTCATTCTTACCAGAGATTTTAAACAATCTTCAACTGTACAAAGATTACATCTGCAAAAAAAAGAGTCTAAGTCCTGAATTTAAACTATTTCTGTCAAATATTCACAATATATAAAGAATATTCTGTGTACACATGGACTTCAAAAAGAAAATAATTTGTGCAAATGATTTTACCTCATTCCAAAAGAGTCTGAGATGAGAAATACAAATAAATGGTAAATAAATCTTACTAAAGGCTAAAACAGATGGTTTTGATAATACATAAAACCAAGAGGCCCCTTTACCAATCCCATTTAGTAATGGTCTACCAAGGAAAAGGGCAAGACATTAAGATTTTTTGCCTTTTTATGCAAAAAGCTGTATTGAAAACTGATTAAAAATAATCTTTATAGACTATTTCTTGATACAATCTATACCCTCAGTGCCTACCTTCATTATTAATCCTCATCCATTTTCTAACATCTTTGTGGGTATAAATTTTAACATAAGACATTTCAGGTATCAATGTTATGAGAAGCCATTTTAGAAATAAGGATTTCTGGGGCACCTGGGTGGCTCAGTTGGTTGAGCATCTGACTTCAGCTCATGTCATGATCTCACAGTTCATGACTCTGAATCCTACATCAGGCTCAGTGCAGAACCTGCTTCAGATTCTGTCCTCCCGCCCCTTCCCCACTCGTGTGCTTTCTCTCTCAAAAATAGACATTAAATAAATAAATAAAATAAAGATTTCCTGGGGCGCCTGGGTGGCTTAGTCGGTTAAGCATCCGACTTTCGCTTAGGTCATGATCTCGCGGTTCGTGGGTTCGAGCCCCGCGTCGGGCTCTGTGCTGACTGCCAGCTCAGAGCCTGGAGCCTGTTTCAGTCTGTGACTCCCTCTCTCTCTGACCCTCCCCTGCTCACGCTGTCTCTCTCTCCTAGAAATAAATAAAAAAAACATTAAAAAAAAAAAGTAAAGATTTCCTCCTCTAAACTGCTCTTGCTTTATAGACTTATGACAGGTATTCAAATTTACCTCTCTTTTATTTTCTGCAGTCTTTCTGGGTCTCTTGAAGGTGCACTTTTAGTTTTATCACTTTTCCCATCAGATGAACTCCAGCCTGAAGGAATAATATCTACAGTGATCATGACATTGTCGGTCAAATTATTTCCAAGTGCTGGGGGGACTGCGAATCGAAATAAGGAACCAGGAAGGATCCCTGTTATTCCTGTATTTCTTCCACTGTGAGCTGAATCAGACGTGGAGCCTCCTGTAGCAGAACTACTCGATGCTGCAGATGCTTGTGATCTGGTGGCAGTAGCCCCAAGAGGATCATTTTGTGCTTCAAGGTGAACCACTTCACTTGATTCTCTTCTAAAAATATGATGAGATCTAGATGGTATATCAGAGGTAGGTATCCTTGAAGATTCATCTCGTCCCTCGCGTCTCCTTCGAGAGAACAAAGGTGTGCATCTATTTCTAAGTGAGGACGATAACCACGGTCCTGTATTTCTACCTTCGGATTCTTGGTTAAAATTTTCTGAATCAGGCTCAGAGCTATGATTTTGGTTAAGAGATGACAAACCCCATCTTCGCCTAAGAAATCGAAATCCCTGAGAGGCTTCAGATGCCCTATTATCAGGAACATCAGAAGTTGACACTGCATTGCTACGAGACTGTGAAGCTGTCAAGATTCTTGGAGAAACATAAGAATTTTCAGAACTCAATGATCTTGCATTCAAGGAATCCTGACTAGACCTTCGGGGGAAAAAGGTAGATGACATACTAGAAGCTATACGTGACAGCAATCTTCTGGTTGAACGTCTACCTTCGTTGTCAGAAGATTCTTGAAATGATCTTTGAGATGAACCAACCCTATCTGAACTGCTTATGGTTGAGGTTTCATCTCTATTTGAAATATAAGAAAATCCAGGCTGTGTACTGCGTTGGGGAGATTCCAATTCTCTTGGAGAAAAATTTGATCTTAGAGAATTTCTACCAGAGTCCCTAGAACATGGTACAGTCTGATGTTCAGAAGGCGTTTGGTGGTTTGTAGATGATGTATTCAACTGTAAAGTGCTCACTGAGTTATCTTTTGGTCTTGCTCCCTGTGAATATGAAGAAGGAACTCTGTCTTGAACATCTATTTTTTAAAGAAAAGAAAGATAACCAATTACATGAAATAATGAGTATTATTAAATTTGTATTTATTAATCATTGCAAAATGAAACACTGGATTCCAACTGACACTGCTATATTATGAATACACAGCATAACTATTAAAACACATAAACGTATTTCTCTTTTTATACTGCTAAGTTAACACTGCAAACTGAAAAGAAAGAAATGTATCATACCTAATGAGACAAACATCTACTAACTTGATGATGGTATTAAGTCCGAATTTGTTAATCAGAAACATGGTAAATATCTAATATCTAAATGGATAAGGAATTTTATTTGTATTTTAAAATGTTTATTTTTGATAGCATGCGTGTGAGGGGAGCAGGGGTAGGGAGGGGAAGAGACAGGAAGACAGAGGGTCCAGAGTGGGCTCTGTACTGACAGCAGAGAGAATGATGCAGGGCTTTAACTCACAAACCACGAGATCTTGATCTGAGCCAAAGTTAAATGCTTAACCAACTGAGCCACTCAGGCGCCTCTAAATGGATAAGGAATTTTAAATGGGCCAAGTAATTCACTGTAAAAGACTCTTGCAAAAGATAATGGCAAAATAATCCTAGGAAGACTGTGTTTTGGAGATTCTTCCTACTCTGCAAGAAGTATAAAAGTTATGGAAACCAACTTGACAATAAACTATTTGTAAGGAAAAAAAAAGAAGTATAAAAGTTATTTCATACAAATACTTATCCTTAAAATTCTATGGCAAACTGTGGTAAGAGCTAAAATTTTATCCAATCTTCTTTCTCTCAAGTTCAAAGCAGTGATTCTTATCTCTGGTTACTTATCAGACATAAGTCTACTTTTCAACACTTGCTGGAAGCTAGGAGTCAGAATAGACCCCACTACTGGTGGTTCTAATCTTGAAATGGGATGAGAAATACTACAGCATTCCTTTATAAAGCATTCTCATCCATACACTTGGCTTAAGAGTAAGATTGCTACTGTGCTAACACATGGACCTTTGTGAAAGGATAAACTGTTAGTGGCTAAGTCTATTCTACCCTATACTTTTAGATGTTCAAACCTAGATGCCATTGATACTGTGTACTAGAGCTCTTCCACTTCAAACCAAACAAAGAAAGAAGTCTTCACTGGTCATTGGTCAAGGCAAAGGCTCGCCCCAATAAGCTTATTTAAAATAACCTCAACAGGGCGTGCTTGGCTGGCTCAGTTGATGGAGCATTTGTCTCTTTATCGTGGGGTTCTGAGTTTGAGCCCCATGTTGGGTGAAGAGATTACCTAAAACAAAAAAAAACTGGTTTTTAAGTATTACTATTTTATGGTATTTAGTTATGAAAACCTTAAGCTTAATGTATACTGAAACAGTGTGGGTCTTTATTTCAATTGAATGAATAAAGGCATTCATGTTAAACACAAGTAATTCTAAATTATGCCTTAAAATGTTGATTTCGAGCTTTAGTTAGGTCAGAATTTTAGCATTAAGTAGTTATTACACAATACAGTTAACCCCTGAACATGAATTTGATCTACATAGGTCCACATATCCGCAGATTTTTGTTGGTAAACACAGTAGGCATTATATATGTATCCCTCTTAGATTTTAATGACTTTTTTTTCTTTTCTTTTCTAGCTTACTTTATCATAAGAATTCATTATTTAATACATATGACATACAAGTATGTGTTAATTAACTGGTTACATTTTTGGGAAGGCTTCCAGTCAGCAGTAGGGTATGAGTAGTAAAGATTTTGGGGAAAAAGTTATACATAGATTTTCAACTGCCACCCAGGTGCCCCAACACACACATTTAGAAAATTATATGCAGACAGAATCCAGATACTACTGTACATCTATTTTAAACTTTTTATTTTTTTAAATATAAAAACAAATAAGCTAGAGTATAATATAAAAACATACTATTTTTGAAATCTCCATAAGAATGCACTTCACGTCTTCATTTTAACTGTGATTCTAACAATACATTCACAAGAAAATGTAACATTAGATAAGCTATACATAATAATACAATTTATACATACATGATGAAGTTGCAAAATCACCACTTCGATGGCTATAATCCATAAGACTACTAAGGGAAGAATCTGTTCTTCTCTCTAAATCTCTTCTCTCTCTCATTAAGTCAGTCCCAAATGATCCAAGTACCATTGATGAAGATCTAGGAACTTGATTATGCCTCCAAGAAGATTCTTAAAATAATGAAAAAATTTTAATTCAGAATATACTTTCAACATTTCTGGTGACAAGTCTGCCATACTACACAGGGAGGTTATTCTGATTTGTTACACAGTTGAAATCAGAAGCAAAATTCAGCAAAACATAAAATTATTCACTAATGAACTCATCACAAAAAAAATTATTTCCTACTCAAACACATTCTTTAACACTGAAATTTACAACATCCATGATGTCAATGTCTCAGTAACCTTCTAGAACACTTGACCATAACACAAGCGCATGATGTAAAATAATTACAGGACAAAATGCGAAGCTGGTCAAAGATGCAGAATTTCCTGAAAAGTCAATGAAACTCGTACTGGAGAACAGCCAAAATCAAAATCAAGCCATCCTAAAATGGAAGATGTTTCACTATAGACACAAGATATTTTATCAGAAATGTTATCATTGCCATCACACCTGGTTCATTCTTATTTTAAGAATTAATGTAGTGTCGCAATCATAATCTAAATTTTTAAATGAAATCATATCTAACAAAATAAATTAAAAGTAAGTCTGAAAACATTCCCCCCTAACTATTTACCTTGAAATTTTGGTTCTTCCTTTCCTAGTCCCAATAGTCTTATTGATTCTTCCTCATTAAGGGAAATGGCCCAGGGTATTTAATGCTATGCCTTCACATAGTAGAAGAGACCAAAAGTGTCTGTGCACAGTGGTGTTTGTCTACAATGTTAAGGACAGTCTGCTCTTACCCATCACACTACTCTTAATATTCTTCAGATGGGCAGTGTCTTTCCCCAGGCGGTCCTGCCTATCAAAATAGAAAGGAATCGCTTACACTAATTCAAATGATAATACAAATGCATTTCAAGAATTTTATCTCCAAACTGTGTCATCACAAATGCTGTCTCACCTTAAAACTATTTCAGGCATTTGCTAGTTTTTCATTTGAAGAGTAATGTAAGTGAGGAGGGAGTCTCCTGCACCCTCAAGTAAAAGAAGTTTTCAATTTGTGCAATAAATATATGTCTGTGAGTACAAAACACCATGCATGGAGCTTTATGGGTAAGTCATGTAAATCCCAGAATGGTTAAGGGACTTGTTCAATGCCATACAGAGGGCTAGAACTGAATCATCACTTTCAGATTCCTTATATATAGAACTCCAAATAGAATACCACCAACTGTTTTTGTTTAAAGAATTTCTGTGTTTTCTAGATATAATGATATAACACAACATTCACTATTTATAGAAGATATGCTTAGGTTTGGGAATGTTAATCTATCAGTAAGTTTGGCTTCCCTAGTACCATTAAAAAAAAAAGTGACCTCTTATACAATAACCAGCAAAATACATGTCACTTTTACCAATCTGATTACCAAACAGATTAGCTATTCTAATTAATCAAAATATGCTAACCTTGTTTGTATAGGAAATCTGTATCAAATTTTGAAAGAATATCCAAAACAAATTAATTTTAGTTTCAGCACTAACTTTTAGGTAAGATCTTTAAATCTTCACTACATGTCTGACCCACTGTCTTACATGCAGAACTTATTTAATAAACACTGAGTTTTGGTGAAAGGGCTTTAGTCCACAATGCATATATAATAACCCTTACAAAAATTTAACTCTTACCTGATACAGTATTTAAACCATGTCCAATATTTCTCCCAGCTGAGGTAGATGTACAGTTTGTACAGGAAAGTTTAGGTCTTTTTGAATCATGATCCCGTTGCTGGTTTTGTGATCTTGAGCGTGCTCCCTGAGTTATCTCAGATTCACTATACCAAGTAGACTGAAATGGTGATGCTGATGCTGATGTAGACTGTAAAGTTAAAAAAAACAACAACAAAACGGTTGTAACTGTACAACAAAATGTTTGCTTTTAGTGTATTAAATTTAATCCCCAATTCCATTCATTCCTCACAAGCATATATTTTTCTACTATGTAGGTTTTTCAGTCTTATTCCTTTCTACTCACATGTTCCTTTACTTTAAACTGTAATTGTACTTTGTTGGGTAATCAATCTGATTTAGATTAAATCTTCTATGTAACTGTGTATAAACACTTGGGTTAGGAAAAACTGAGGAACAAAATTCTTACACAATCATTTTGTTTTCCTGGTTAAATATTTCAAACTCCTGAGAAACTTATGTCCTGTCCCCAAAGATGAGCAGAATATGAAGTACTAATATATAAATGAATTATGAAAACTCTACTATAAAACCAAGATTTTTTAAATAATAAAAAACATATCCTGGATCTAATGCTCAGAAATACAGTCTGCATTTTTCTCAGAATAGTAATGGCATTAAAAAAAATTTTTTTTTATGTTTATTTCTTATTGAGACAGACAGAAACAGAGCACGAGTGGGGGAGGGGCAGAGAGCGAGACAGACAGACAGACAGACAGATTCTGAAGCAGGCTCCAGGCTCTGAGCTCGAACCCACAAACCATGAGATCATGACCTGAGCCCAAGTCGGATGCTTAACCGACTGAGCCACCCAGGCGCCTCTGTAAATGGTATTTTTAAAAAACTTCTACTATCTGGAATTTTTCCATCAGCGAAGACACAGGGAAACGTGTACATATTAAACATAGTACACATTAAAACTTTAGCTCAAGGTTTTTTATAAGAACCTGTAACAGAAAAATCATTCAAAACGTACAAACTATTTCACTGCCGTGTAATTCTTTACCTGGTTAAGCAGTTTATTCTATTTAAGGCATAAAAAGGAAAAGGATTAGTCTGTCCCTTTAAAAATATAGGTTTAAATAATATATTTCAACAGTAATTGTTCAAAGTATCCTTTTCTATTATGCTTCAATTACAAGAAGCATACTGCATGCTTTCAGGGAACTATGTATTATTAGTTCAGGGTACCTCTACAGAATAAAGTAGGAATAGGTCAGATTAGGATTTCATCCATCCCTTGCCCACATCCCTTGAATATTTTGCAAATTCAGTGTAGCTTCAGCTCAATACAAACTTGGTCTCACAAGCCTTCTGCACCAAGTCTTCTCCAGAGCCTCAATGAACCAGAGCAGCATCAGAGATGAAATTCATTAGATATTTTACAACCAAACCATCTTATGTGCCATCATTGGGTATTAGGGACCATATGCTATATGCCACTAAATTCTAAGACCAAAATAAAGATGTTTTAATTTAAAATTTAGAAAGAACTGCATGTTGAAAAGCAAAGAAATCTAAATTAGCAAATACCGACTAATCTCACCCCAACTTTTAAAAACTCCCCAAACATGACAACAGAACGGAATAAAACGGACTTTTAAAGTGAATAAATTTTATTCACAGAAAATCTTTTACTTATTTTTGTTTTGCCTGGACCAAACTGTTACTGAATAGCAATTCTGCAAATAGGACTTTGGTAACTACTGAAGGAGAAAACACCATCAGATCAATCACTTCTTAGAAAGATCCTTAGAGCATTGTGGAAGATGAAAAAAAATGGAACAAACAGGAAGTAGGAAAATCAACTATGAAGTCACTGAAATAGCAGGAAATAAGTCCTTGCAATAAAAGCAATGGGAACAGAGTAATTATAAGAGATGAAAACTCATCAAATTTAGAGACACTGAGAAATAAACAAAAAAGTCTAAAATCAATTTTCAGGCACTGGCTACTGGTGGGAAAAGATACACTCAATGCTCAGGAAACAATTTTCATGACTTAGCACTCTACAACGCAGTCTATGCAGCCTGTATGTCATCTGAGAGACAAAAGTACTTGTTGATATCAATATATGGAAAGGAAAAACAGAGGTTCTGACCAGTATTTCTGCTGGCTTAAATTCAAAATCAAAACCATTTTTGGCTCCTACCAATTTGGTACACTGTTCAAATAACTTTGGTCTGAATTTACTTTTTAACCATTCTGAATTATTTTAACAATTTGGAACTATTGGTCAGGCAAATAAATTAGGGAGTGAATCTGTCTCCAAAGTATACTGCCCTGCAGATAATGGATACTTTAAAAAGTAGTTTTGGGGTTGTTTCCACTTTTTGGCTATTATGAATAATGCTGCTGAAATAATTCTTGTTCAAGATTTCTAAGAAGGTCTAAAAAAACACTGCCAACGCAACTGATCTTAAGATGGTGCAGTAAAAAAAAAAAGAACATTAATGAAAACATATGTGCAAATCACATATTTAATAAGAAACTTGTACCAAAAATATTTTAAAACTCTTACAACTCATAAATTAAATGGATACTAAGTAAGTTTCCAAAACAGGGAACACAAGACCCACATGGGTTTACTAGAGGATTCCACCAAACATTTAAGGAAGAATACATCAATTCTCTCCAATCTCTTGCAGATGACAAAAGAGAAAATACTTCCTAAATTATATAAGGGCAGAATTACCCTAATACCAAAACCAAACAAAGACATAACAAATAACAAGTAAACTACAAACCATTATCTCTCATGAAGCGACACAAAAGTCCTCAATAAAATACTAACGCACTGAATTCAGAAAGTATAAGAATCAGGGGCGCCTCGGTGGCTTAGTCGGTTGAGCGTCCGACTTTCGCTTAGGTCATGATCTCGCGGTTGTGGGTTCAAGCCCCGCGTTGGGCTCTGTGCTGACTGCCAGCTCAGAGCCTGGAGCCTATTTCAGAGTCTGTGTCTCCCTCTTTCTCTGACCCTCCCCTGCTTATGCTGTCTCTCTCTCTCTCTCTCTCCTAGAAATAAATAAAACATTTAAAAAAAAAAATCCATCATAGAAACAGGCTAAGGAAACAAAATCAAGTGACTGACAACGAAGAAAAAGCATTTAGTAAAATCCAACATCCCTTTCTGAAAAAAAATTCTCAGCAAACTAGAAATAAAAGGTAACTTCATCAATCTGATAAACAATATAAAAAACACAGCTAGAAAGAGAAATTTTTAAAAATCCCATTTACAACTACACCCAAAATGATAAAATACCTAGGAATAAAGATAACCAAAGAGGTGAAAGATTGTACAATGAAAACTATAAAAACAATGATGAAAGAAATTGAAAAGGACACAAAGAAATGGAAAAATATTCCACAAAAATGGAAAAATTCCATTTTTCAAGTCAACTGACCTATGACAAAAGAGGAGACAATATACAATGGGGAAAAGGCAGTCTTTTCAACAAACAGTGCTTGGAAAACTGGAAAGCTAAATGCAAAATAACGAAACTGCCCCACTTTGTCACATCACACACAAAAATAAATTGTTTAAAGACCTAAATGTGAGACCTGAAACCATAAAACTCGAAGAAGAAAATACAGGCAATAATTTGACATTGGCTCTAGATACATTTTTCTAGGTATGTCTCCTCAGGAAAAGGAAACAAAAGCAAAATAAGCTATTTGGACTCTGCTCCCCCAAAATCACATCTACACCTCAACAAAACAAAAAGGCAACATACCAAATGGGATATTTGCAAATGATGTATCCAACAGGGGGTTAATAACCAAAAAATTATAAAGAACTTATACAACCCAACATTAAAAAACAACAACAAAAAAAAAAACCCAACAGTAAACCAACCAACCAACCCAATCTGATTTTAAAAAGGACCTAAATAGACCTTTCTGCAAAGGAGACCTACAGATGGACAATAGGTGCATTAAAAGATGCTCAATGTCACTAATCATCAAGGATACGCAAATCAAAACCACAATGAGGTATCACCTCACACCTGTCAGCTAAAAGCAAAAACACAAATAACATGTGTTAGGGAGGATATGAAGAAGGAACCCTAGGGCACTGATGGTTAGAATGCAAACTGGTACAACCACTGTGGAAAAAAGAACAAAGATTCCTCAAAAAATTAATACCAGAAATACCATCTGATCCAGTAATTCCACTATTTATTTACTCAAAGAAAATGAAAACTAATTCAAAAAGATACTGGTACCTCTATATTTACTGTACCATTATTTATAATTGCTAGGATATAGAAGCAACCAACTGTCCATCAATAAAGACATGGTATGTATATACATACACCTATACATTCATACATACAGTGGACTATTAACCATAAAAGAGAATTGAGAGCTTGCCATTTCTAACAACATGGATGAAGCTAAGTGAAATAAGTCAGTTGGAGAAAGACAAATATATGACTTCACTCATGTGGAATTTAAAAAAGGGGGGGGAGATCAAAAGTACACTTACCTTGATAAGCATGGAAAAATCTACAGAACTGTTGAATCATTATGTTGTATACCTGAGCCTAATAACACTGTACGAATAAGGCAAGAATGTCTTCTGTGGATTATCCTTTCAGTCCTACCTTACTCCCCAACCTCCAGAGAGAAGAGAGGGGCGAAGATTTAAAGAACCAATGACAAATGACTTAATCATGACTATGTACTGAAGCCTCCATACCCAAAAGAACTTGGTTCAGAGAGCTTCTGGACTGGTGAACATGTGGAGATGCAGGAGAGTGGCGTGCCTGCAGAGAGCACAAAAGCTCTGCACCTTTTTCCGCCATACCTTACCCTATTTATCTCTTCACCTGGCTATTGATTCATATTCCTTAATAAGCCAGTAAACATAAATAATTTCCTTCAATTCTGTGACCCACTCGAGCAAATAAAAAACTAAGGTGGGGGGCGCCTAGGTGGCTCAGTGAGTTAAAGTGTCCAACTCCTGATTTCAAATCAGGTGATGATCTTACATTTCAGGAGTTCAAGCCCTGCATCAGGCTTTTTGCTGACAGCATGGAGCCTGCTTGGGATTCTGTCTCTCCCTCTCTCTCTCAAAATAAATAAATTAAAATAAACAAGCAAACAAAAAAACCAAACCAAAGCAAA